CTGATAATAGTGGACACCATTGTTCCCCCTCCCCTCACACAAATTTACAATAACATAAACATTTGCAAACAACTTCAGGAAAGCTCCAAATAAATACTCTTAGTAAGAATCTCTAATTAAACAAGTATCTATTGGGCAAGGCACAAGAGCAATTTAAAGCTGCATTTCATTTAGGCATTCCCCAGAAGATTAATCAATCCCCTATCCCAGCCAAAAGTGATTTTTCACTTCTGTGAATTTCCTTAGGGCTTTTCGTATTATCTGCCACATTTACTGATGTTTATCTTGTTTAAACAGCTACATGTTTGAGGGCAGTGCACACCAACCTTTTGTTCATTAATTCACTAAAGGTACATTGAACAAAATTCCTATCTTCAAATTGCTTAAAATCTAGAATCTTAAATCTGAAAGGGATTTGGGGGACAGCAAGCCAATACACAAATAACCACAATGCAAGACTGTGGGACTGATAGAAGGTAAAATAGTGCCAGAGAAAATGGTTAAGGAAGGCTCACAGGTGACATGAAAAGGCATCTCATGAGGGTGCCTTCCTAAGTTTTCTGTGAACAATTTTATAACATTTTATTGACCTGACAAGGTGGTGAGTTCTTTGAGTGTCTTATTTGTCTACACACACCAGCCTGCCATGCTGCACCCTCTACAATGCCTAGCACAGGACAGGTGTTTAATAAATGACCGCTGAATGGTTAAGAGAGGCGGCACTCACTCAACCTGGACCTTGAAAGATGAGGGTTCTAAGTCATGAGACAAATGGGAAAAAAAGATGGTCTGATGGAAAATCAAAGTGTTTTAATGAAGGACACCAAGTAAGGGTACATTTAAACAAGTAATAATATTTCCTGGGATACTGCCATTGGGAAAAAGAATTTAAAGCTTTTGATATAACCCACGAATTCAGCTGAAGGTGTTTATTCTTTCAATAATCAATTCAGACTAGTTTTCCTGTTAGAATAAATGCCTTTGTAAGCATTCACTTAGCAAAGGGTACAGGAATGAGGCAGATGAAATATAAGTAAAACCAAATCTAGCCTTCAGGAATCCAACAATGCAGTGAATCAACAGACACGCAGGCAACTATGTACTAAGAACTCGGAGGAGTAAATAAGGGTTATCAAAACCTAGGGAGACTGGGGAAGAGGGGATTGACCAGGCTGCAGGGAAGTGAGGGAAGCTTCTGCAAGAGCTGGCAGGGCTCTAGAAAATGTATTCATTGATAAATATCAACACAGTACGTTTTGTTCACGCGGTCCTATTCCAGGTCCTCTCCCACTGAAATTACCCGCACAACCTGTTTTGTAAACCAGGAATTAGAACACAGATAAACATCCATGTGAAGAATAAAATTTGATGCAAAACTACCTGAAAACCAATGCTTTGACCGAGTAGAAACATGTTTAGCAGTAGGACATCTGGGGAGGAGGGTCGGGGCGAGAAGAGGAGGCCTCCGTGGGAGGCCGAGCCTGGCTGGGCGCGACGTGGAGTTAAGGAGAGGAACCTGGCTGGGCGGGTGGGGCCCCGTGCCGAGGGATGTAGGGATGCAGGGATGCAGGGATGCAGGGATGTAGGGATGCAGGGATGCAGGGATGCAGGGATGCAGGGATGCAGGGATGCAGGGATGCAGGGATGTTCAACCCACCTGGTCCATCTTGGGTATCACCTTATGCCGGCCCCCCATCCGGAAGCGCAGCAGGTTGTAAAACTCCTCCGGGTGCCCCAAGCACTTCACGAACTCCATGTTGACGGCAGGTTGCCGGGCCTCGGTGATCACCTGGCTAGTGCCTCGGATCGCACCCGATACCAGGATTAGGCACCGGAGGCGCGGCGGGCGGGGCAGGAGCGGAGGCGGGC